TGGTCAGTGAGACCCTCTCTCAGAAGGAGGCATTTGAGCTGAGACCTGAATGAATTGAAGAAACCTACTATTGTAAGATCTGGGGAGAGAGCAATGTTGGCAGAGGAAACAGCATGTGCAAAGGTCCTGAGGTGGTAATGAGCCCAGTAAGTTTATGAGACAGATCAGTGAGGTAGGACTATGGTGTGTGTGGGGCAACAGGGAGCTCACAGCCAAAAGTTAGGGAGAGAGACAGACAAATTTACAGGACAAGTACAATACACTTGGATAAGGCCACAGGCAAGGCTTCGCCAAAGGGTTGTGGGAGCCCAGAGGAAGGAGCCTCCTTTTACTTGGGGAAATTGGGAGGGATTCCCATCAGAGGGACTATTAGAGCTTTATCTTAGAGAATGACTCAGAATTCACCATGGTGGGAAGAAGGAAAAACACAAGCAAAGGAAGGAGGCTGAGAAGCCTATGGGGGTGGTCAGGGCAGGTGGTAGTGGAAGAGGCTGGAGATATAGGGCCTGAATGCCAGTAGGAGGAGCTTGGAGGTTCTTCTGAGGGTACTGGGGAGCCACAGCAAGTGCTAGAGCAGGGGCAGTGTGGGGTCAACTTGGGAAGGAAGGCAAATTCTGCTATGGTGAGGGGGAGGCTAGAAAGAAGTTTTGAGCAGGGATGCCACCTCCCACCCTTGCCTTTCCCTGAATTCCTGTCTTTCTTGGCCCACCCCTTAAATATTACCTGTTTTCAGCTGCTCGCTGCTGACCTGCAGGGAAAGCAGGTGCTGGGCCTCCCCTTGGGCCTGGGGCCGCAGCCCCCAGCATAGCAGTGACCCCCCAGAACAGCAGCATCCTCCTGGCCAGACCTGTGGACACAGAGCCGGGAGTCCCAGTGGCCACCTCCATGTCCTCACTGGGGACCCATTGCCTAGCATCTCCCAGCTCTGCCTTTCCTAGAACCATCTCTCCAGCTTTCCTTGCCTTGCTTCTCCCTGTAGTTCCAGATCCACTAGTCTTTGAACACAGCCTGCACTTCCTATCGCCTCACCTGGCACAGGGGCTTCTGGCCAAAGCTGACAGGGCCTGTCACTGAGGCTCTAAGGGCAGGTGTTAGGCCTAGGCCAACATACCCCAGGAAGGAAGTGGGGGGCTCCTTTAGTTTTGGGGGTGGGCCCTTTCCCTTAGGAACAACAGCAGAGCTACAGAGCCTGGGGCAGGGCCTCCAGCTCTTGGGAGGGGCCCAAGGAGGCCCCTAACACAGAATGTGCCAGTCACAGAACCCAAGGAAGTAAGGGTGTGTATTGGGGTGTGTGTGGAAGAGAGCAGGTGAGGGATAGAGACGGGACTGGGAGAAGCCTGATGACCACCTTGGGTCCATTCCTCGTGCCTTTTCCATGTATGTCATCCATGCCATGGCTCTGCAGCCAGACAGGCTTGGGTTCAGATCCCCACCATCACTCAGTAACTGTGGGCAAGTTACTTTCCCTTTGGAGCCTCACTTTTCATGTCTGCAAAATGGGCATCATAAACCCACATATGTCTTTTGGATATTGCGAAGATCACTGAGGTAACTCATGTAGATGCAGCACATGGCCTAGCACGCAGGAAGAGTTCAAAAGAAGTTACTCATTTTAATTTTTATTTTATAGGTGACAGAACTGCGACTCAGAGAGGTTAAATGATTCGCTCAAGGTCACACAGCATGTCTGCGGCAAAACTGGATTTGAAATCAGGGCTATCCCATGAAAGGGAATTTTAGCGTTACTACGCAACATGGCTCCAAGGCCCCAAGTCCTCACTCCCAACCAAACTGCTATGCAAAAGTCCTCTTATGTGAGAATCCTGGTGCCACTATTGCAAGTGTGCAAGCTGGCTGTGTCGTCATGGACTCCTTTGTTAACTGCTGCCCAGTTTGGTTATTCCGATGGCAGGTGTATTCATCTCTAGGTTTTCCATGGAATTCTCTCTATAATTAATTCCTTTCCCTTTCGCAACTCTGAGACGTGGTTAGGGTAGGTGTTAAGCTCCTTTCTTCAGCTGGACACACCAGGCAGAGGGGCTGATAGCAGAAGAGCGGGTTCTGGAGGCAGCAGCTGCCTAGGAAGTGTAAAATCAATGTTAGCAGCTAGTTCTCACTTTGGCTAATGTCAAAAGCAAATGGCTGATGTTAATAGGATTCAGTAGCATATTTTGGATGGGATGTACTTTTTCTAGAATCTCAGAGTCACTTTTGATTGGAAGATGCTTTAAAAGTTGGCAGTTCCCCCTCATTTCTCTCAGTTGGGTCTCAACATGACTGCCAAATTATCTTCCTTCTGCCTGGGCCAGAGAAAGGCTCTGGGGTTAATTCCTGCATCCAAGTCACTGGGGACTGGTGCGGGATGTTGGTGGAAGCTCAGAGATCTCCCTCCCCTTCCAAAATCTGGCCTCTCTAAATGGGACAGGAGGGGAAGAATTTCGCTAGGGCTCCATGGATTCCATCTGTTTACCTCATTGACTAATAGTCTCTGCTGCAAGATTTCCTGGGGGGGAGGAGAGTGTGGGGGGGTCTCCCATGAAAGGGAAGCCCTGGGAAGGATGCAGAGAGGTGCAAGACACGTTACTGCCGCTCTCTGAGCCTCAGTTTATTTTTTTCTGTAAAATGAGAATGTTAATCCCAAAGGAAGGGCGTAGCACTGCTCTGGGAACTGAATAGTCCTCAGGGAATAGAGGCAGTTAGTTGTCACTGTTATTTTGAGGAATCAAGAAAACTTGGTCGGGGGAGGGGGGTTGTCACTTCGAGGGGTAAATAGTATAACTATTGCACTGTGTTGTACAGCTGAAACTAATTCTAAAAAATGTGTCTTTCATAATAAAAAATGATTAAAAGGAAAAACAAAAACAAAAACAAAAGAACTCGGTCATCCACAACTGAATTGTGGATTCAGGTGAGAAGCTGGGGCAAGTGGGTGAGGTTTGGGTTCCCATCATTTCATCGTCTCTGTGTTACTTGATCTCTCATCTGTAAGACAAAGACAGTAGTAATTCCTGATAGGATAGTTACTGAGGTATCACTTGGTGTTTTTTATTTGCTGAGACTGATAAAACTCAGAGAGAAGCAGAGGGCTGTTCCCTTCCCTAGCCCAGGAAGGTGGTGGGGTCTTGGAGTTCTGGGTCTGGGGATTCCTCTCTCAGGGATGCATGGATAGCGGTTGGTTTCAGGGCTCAAATGGAAGAAGGCGGGCGCAGAAGACACCTCCTTTATGGGGGAGGTGGAGAACCAAGGGCGGGTGATGAAGTTGCAGAGAGTAGAGGGAAGCAGCGTGGGTTAATGGTTAGGGGCTGCATGGTAGTGTGCTTTCAGAGCCTCAGTTTCCTGATTTGTCAATTTGGGGGTGCCATAGGCTATGGGGAAGGCTGGGTGAGTGAGGGTCCATAAGACCCTTAGCATGGTGCCCGCGGAGCAAGTGCTTGTCTTAGTTTGGGCTCTCCAGAAGGATTTGAGTACAGGTAGCTGATTTGGGGGTGATCCCAGGAGACACTGGTAGGAGCGGGGAAAAGTGAGGAAAGGAGACAATCCATAGAGGTGTGTTATCAGGCAAGTGACCCCAGGGGCACCTGGGGCTCAGTCCGACTGGGATGCTGTGGGAGCCACTGTGGAGTTGTTCCCTGTGTCCATGGGGTGAGGAAGCAGAGTTATTTATCCACTAACGTCCAGGAAGTCCCAGAGGTTGTGGGTAGTTAGAACCCAGGAGACATGGCCATGGCTATTTGGGAGAAGTGCTCCCACTGGGCTGGGTATGGTGCCGCTCGGCACCAGATGGGACCCAAGACCATAGGCTCTGCTCCTTCTTCTAGGCTCCTCAGAAGTCCCCCAAAAGATCCTTGTATGACCCTAGGGAACCAGAAGAGACCTACCCCAGACAAGATGGAGATGGACTTTCTCATCTCCCTTGTGAGTGGGGGTTCACACCCACATTTAATATGATTTAGAAAAGTAATGAAATGTGATGTGTGGGGACGCAGACCACCAAGTATGGCTGGGAGTCTGAGATGCTTGGGGAACTGCAGCCCAGGGCCTAGAGCTCAGTAACTGCCCAGCAAGTGTTCGCTGACCACGGTGTAAACGCCTCGTGCAGGGTCTTGTCCTGGTCCCTCCGTGTCTCTCTTTGCCTCGCCCGTGGCTGTGAGCTGTTCTTATGTCTGTTTAGGACCTTAAGTTGCGTAATGCCTTTTCCCGAAATGACCCACATCCCTTCCCACAAGGTCCCTTGTGTAACTGAAGGGCTCTGTGTGCTGGGCCAGGCCTGCAGTCTGGAAGACAGGAGCCCTATTATCTGTCCTGAACCTGCTGGCATCAGGGAGGCCAGGGAGATAATGGCAGTCATGGTGCTGTCCAAGCAGGCAGGGCCTTCAGTGATAAGGCCCAACATCCTAGAGGCCAGGTAACAACAGTGACGATGACATCACCCACAGATGACATTGTTTGAGTACCTCCCCTGTGCCAGGAACCATTCTCTCTCATTTCATCCTCACTACAGCCCACCAAGGTGGGGACTATGATTCTCCCAATTTTATAAGAGAAGGAAACTGAAGCCACAACCCAGGGTCAAACAACACTGAAGGGGGCCAGGCCAGAACTCAAAGCCTACCTCCAGAGTCATGCTGTTCAGAGAACCGTCCACCCACTACACTGCCAAGATCAACAAGGCATGTGTCCCCTGCCAAAGAGGTTGTCCCGTCATAAGTAGAGGGCTTAAGACCAACACAGAAGGCAGGAGGGCACAGCTGGCTTTCTTATTCCTGAAGCGTAGGGAGGTGGCCAAGACCCTGGATGTTATCCACATCTGGTCCGATGTGGCCCAAACATAGCTCGGACGTGGCCCAGATTGGCTCAGAAGGGCCTGAACATGACCCAGATGTGGCTTGATGTCCAGCCCCCACGACTTCCAGGGCCATAATGACTCTTGAGTTGGGACAAAGATACACGCCAGACTGCAGAAGTCACAGATAAGTATTTATTGCAGAGAGGGACACCTACACAGCTGGTTCCCACACTCCCACTGGACCCCACATGCAGTGGATGGCCACTGTCCAAGTCTTCACTGGGAGAGAGGAGAGAGATCTGGAGTTCTACGAGGAGGCGGGGGTGATCACAATGGCATCCTGGAATTGGAGGAGAAAAGTCAAACAGGTTTTTTACCTCCTGCCTTGTGATTTATGCTGAGTTGTCCTCCTCAAGGTGACTACTGGCATTGGGGTTCTTGACCCTGAACTCACTCATACAGAATTCTTGGAAGGGTTGGAGGAGTTGGTCTGTGTGTGTAGAGTGATGCCACACAAGGGCCTGGGGCACAGGTAAAGTAACGGTGTGCAGAGTGTGGGATTGTGCAGGATTGTTGTCCTCAATCCCAGCTGGTCACCAGAACACCTTCAAAAGTTTCATCAGATGCAGATTCCTGGGCATATCCATTGTGCCCCAAGCAGCTACATTTTTAACAAGGCTCTGGCTTTTTTTTTTTTTATAAACTGAATGTGATATGAGGAACTTAACCTATTAGATTTTCCCCAATATTGTATTGTGATCATTTTCAAACATACAGCAAAGTTGAAAGAATTTTACAGTGAGCACTTGTATACTTATCACTTAAATTCTGCCATTCATTTTTTTAAAAACCATGCTTGCTTTATCTCATATCTATCCATTTATTCATTCCTTAGACTACATTTAAAAAAATATTATAAAGGTATAAAAAAAGGAAATCAATGTGCTACTAGTTCAAAACAAATGAACAGAGCCAAACAGGAAATTTGAAAACAGATCCAAAGAATGAAATGATACCTTTCCAACTGCAAGTGATGGATTATATGATGCAAGTTGATTAAAAAACAAAAATAAAAAAGGACAGTTGCTAAATGCCCCCTGATAAGAGATATGTGAAATAAACCAAGCTGTAGACATTCAATTGTATGAACACCAGCTGTCCACTCAACATGAATCCAATGCAATATGTGTCTTAGATAAACTACTTATATTATAATTGGCTCATTGTAATTTAGCCCATTAATTCATGACCTGTGTATTACGACATCTGTTGGGTTTTACGGATGAGGAAGGTGGGCTCAGAGAGACCAGAGGACCTGCCTGAGGTCCCCTGGCTAGAGAGAAGCAGAGCCAGGATTTGAAAGCCAGCTGAAGGGTGGACACAATTTTCGAGGTGGGCAGCTGATAATAAGTCACATGTCAGCTTGCCTTTGAAGCCAGTTAACAAAGCCTCCTCCCCTCCCCCCAAATTCGACCCTAGTGGGATGGGGGACATTTTTGAGACTTTCTTCCCTCTGGGGATTTCTCTGGAACTAAACAGCTCAGGAATTCAGTGGTACCAGTCCACAGCTTTGGGCAAATCAGGACTAATAAGGGTTACAGGTTGGGTTCTAAGTGCCTCCCTGGCCTTCGGTTGGACACTCCGGCCATGGAAGAATGGGCAGTTACTTGTGGATTTTCTTAATTTCTTAATTGTTAATCTGCTTCCAATGTCTCTCCCCCTCTAGAGTGGACTAAAAACTCCACAAGGGCAGGAATTTCTGTCTGTTTTGTTCACGGTAGTGATCAGTGCCTGGCACACAGTAGGGGTTTAGTAAATGCCTGCTGGTGAGCTGACTGAGAGAACCACCTCACTGTCTTTGGCTGATGCAAAGGTTGGGGCCCAAAGCAGGGGATTATCAGGGCAGGTGCTGAATGCAAATCTCAACTGTGCCACCTACTGGGTACGTGACCTTGGAAATGGACTTACCATCTTTGAGCCTCAGTTTCCCCACCTGTAAATTGGGGATGAAACAGGATCTACCACATGGGGTGGGTGTGAAGACTGAGTGAGATGCTACCTATTACCCAGTGCCTGGCACAGGATGATTACGGGCTGTTATTATTAATGATAATATTTGCAAATGGGGGTGATGCTGCTACCTCTCCCTTCCTCGGAAGCTATCAAGGAAAGTCATATGCTCAGTAAGCATTTATTGAGCATCTATTATGTGTCCGGCTTTACTGAATGAAAGAACAAATGAATGAATGAATGACAGGTAGGGTGGAAAAAGCTGGAGGTGTGTTGACTCCAGGCAAGGACAGTTGCACTCTCCCACTTACAGATGAGGAACTGAGGCCCTGAGAGAAGAAGGGACTTGCCCAAGGTCCACCATGAGTGACCAGAGGGGTCTGGGTTGAAGCGCAGCCCCCACCTCCCAACCCAGGGCTCTCCCAGTGACTGTGCCTTCTCTGGGGCAGGATGTTTAACCCCACTCACCTTGGTCAGAGACCATGAAGCTGCCTGGAATCCCAAGGCCTCCACCATCGACATCAGGATCCCAGATCTTAATTTGCCTGAAATAACGAATGTGGTCAGAGACTGGCGGGGTNGACCCCCAAAGGGGTCGCGACCCACAGGTTGAGAACTGCTGGTTTAGAGGTTCTGTTCATCTAGTGTTCAGGGGACTTCCGAGGTTGAATGTTGTATAAATTATTTGTAATTTTGGTGAGATCCTGGGAGGCAGTCGGCACAGTGCCTATGTATTCCTCCATTTAACAGAAGTCCGCTGGGAGATTTTAAGCATGGTTGTTACACAGTGTGCTCAGCCTTCTTTTCTACCCCTGTTTGCCTGTGGAATGAGACTTGGTTTCATACGTGTGCTGTCCTTTTCATTTGTATTTTAGAACTTTCAAGCTATATGCCAGACTTCCTCTCACCTGTTATGTATTCAATGGCTCCCCACATTCTGGAGCCTATTCTCAGGGCCTCAGGCTTTCCCTTATTTAAGGTGAGGATTTACCGAAGTCACCTGTTCAGTTCCTAGCACTGGAAGTTTTGTGATTTTGTACACCTGTCATGAGCTTGCTGTGCGGTGTTATCACAGCTTTACAAAGCAAGCGCCTGGGAGAGGGAGATGATTTTGACTAAGAGGATGGTAACGTCTGCTTCTGCTCACCTGGCGTGGGGGGACTTGGTGGGACCCTGCCTTCAGGAGGCCCAGCATGTTAGCTGCCTGGCCCTCCCCAACCCCAGTGTGGTTCTCATACTGTGAACTCAAGAACAGTTCTAGTTGCCAAAGGCCCCATTTTGGGCTTTGCCGCAATGTCACATGCATAGAATAAATGACAGTTGACCTTTTCTCCGAGGGCAGAACTAAGCTTTACACATGATGAGAAGTGGAAGACAAACCCAGCTTTCTTAGGCTTTGTTTTTCTTGGATAGTTGAAGAATATTGAGTCATCATTTAGGTGGAATTGAGACTCCCAAACTGGGTGTGAACCTTGATTTCAGTGCCGCTAATGGTTTCTCTGGACCCAAAGAATAAAGCCAACTGCAAAAGTAAGGAAGGGGCATATCCGGGATTCAGCCTTTGATGGCTCCTGCAGCTTCCGGGGTTTTTTGTCTCTCTCTCTCTGTCCTTCAACCTTAGGAGGTGGGGCAGCCATTGAATTCTGCTAATCCAGGACCCACACAGGCGGTTTCTCAGAGGTTTCTCAAAGGGTGGCTTAGCAGGCTGAACACTAGGGCTGGCTTGTTCTCAAGTCCTAAGTGATTTGACCTTGTGACTCTTGAAACAGAGGGCCCTTTGAAGGCTGGCCAAGGCTCGCCTGGGATCACAGTTGTTGGTGATAAGGCAGGTCATGATTCTTAATGCCTCTGTGTGAAGATGTCACAGTGCTCCCACGTGAGTCGTGGGTATCCTGGTGACAGAAGCAATAGGATTTTGCCCTTTCATAGGTGTTTCTTTAGTGACATACACACAGGCGTGTACACATTTGTATTTTGATTTGTGTATATGCTTGTGTGTGTCTATCTAGTTTTCTGGAACTCAGCTATCATGTTCAGCACTCCTGCCTCAGTTTCCTTCTCTGGTGTAACCAATCTCAGATCTTTGCCAGTAATGGGAGTTCACTGGGGGCTCATGCAGCAAATTTGTGTCCCTGAATGCTCTGGAGTTGTATGTAACATTTGGGTTAATTTTCACTTCTTAGGGTACATATCTTTCATGAAATGTCAGTGAGCCTTGTGTTTTATCAAAGGTAAAGAGTGTTTTAGGAGGAGGCATAGTTTCTGAGCTCGGGCTTTGGGGCCAGACAGACATGGGTGTGAATCCTGGTTCATTCGGCGTGTGGCCAGGGGACATTACCCAACTTTTTCATGGCTTAGTTTCCTCATCCATAAAGTGGGGATCATATTGTATGCATCATAGGGTTCCATGATGATTAAATTGGATGAAATATGTCATGCAATCAGCATATGTTTGGCATTTGTAAGTATTTCATAATTTACTGTCATCATCACCATCACCATTGCTTACTATTTCATCAGGTGCTTCAGTTGTTTTCCACCTTTCTCTCAGATTTTATACCATTTCCCTATCAATACTGTGTACCTAGAATTTGGCAACTATTTACACTTGGTTTACAACAAGAAAATATGGATTTTTAAGCTATGTTTCTTTACCAAAAAACAGATCCTTTACCTAACTTGTACCAGAATGAATCAGGTATAGAGACATTTTAACCTCACTCTGAAGTTTTTCTTTTCTACGGGGGTGGGGTGGGGTGGATAGAGTTTTGACACATTTAACTACAGCTATACATGTGAACATGCCTTGTCACAAATGCATAAGAAGTTTCAAAGGCTAAGTGTTTAGCATGTATTTTCATATTTGTGTGGCTTTGGCTCTGTTCCTTTTCCACCCAACTGGCCCATGGACATCAATGTCCAGTGTTTGGCCTGTGGCCTCTGCTTTGTATTTCAATGTGGAGTATGTTTGTGCCAAGAGGAGCTTTTCATTCATTCCCAGAGGGGCAGGTGGCTGGTGGGCACTTTGTTTTTGCTGCTTTCCCTCTGAGCCCCTTCTGCTACTTTTTCCTCCAATGGTGACACGTTGCTGCTAGTGGGCATCCTCTTCTGGAAGTGCCTAAAGGGCTCCATATGTGGCTGCAGGTGTGACTATGGTGGTGTTTGCCTGTTGATTCAGCCAGCTTGAGTTTCACATGGAGGGGAACTCACTTTGCCTGAGATGGAGAGTAGGNCTGGTATTCCTATGATGCAAATGTTGTTGTGCTTGATGTTGTCTCACAGGTCTCTTAAACTATTTTTATTGTTTTTTATTCTTTTTTCTTTTTGTTGTTCCAACTGGGTGATTTCTGCTATTTTGTCTTCTACATTCCTGATCTGATCCTCTGCTTCATCTAATCTACTGGTGATTCCTTCGAGTGCGCTTCATTTCAGTTATTGTATTCTTTAGTTCTAACTGGTTTTTTAAAAATGATTTCTTTATCCTTCTTTATGTCCTCGCTAAGTTCCTTAAACATTCTTATCATCAGTGTTCTAAACTGTGTCTCTGAAAGGTTGGATACCTCTGTTTCATTTAGTTCCATTTCTAGAGGCTTCTTCTGATCTTTTACTTGGGACTTGTTTCTTTGTTTCTTTATTCTGGCTGTCGCTCTGTGATTGCTTCAATGTATTAGGTAGATCACCTATATCTCTCAGTCATTGCTGGGTGGTCATGTAGTGTGTGTCCTTTATATTCGAATTGCACAGTCTCTGTATTTTTCTGTCCCGTGTGTTCCAGAGGAGTCGCTGTTGAAGTTGATCTTTAATTACTTTTGGATTATCAGAGGGTAGGATTGACTCTCAGGCTAATTACTGGGGAGAATTAGCTCTGTTCACAGTGTATGAGATGCTGTGTGGAGGTTGACCCCCTCAGAGGAGGCTTGGCCACTACGGGCCCTTGTGCCTGTGGAAAATTTCCTTTGAGAATGCCACTTGTAGGTCCAACCAGGTAGTACTCTGGCTTTGTCTAACACTGGCCTCTGGGTGTATTGGTTCTGGTGTCTCTTGGGAGGGCCTCCCACTGAGTGCCATTTCAGCCCTGTCTGTTACCAGCCTGTAGCTACCTTGTAGGCTGTATGCAGTTGGCTGCTGCTGTGCTGGACTTGGGGGTCACGTGGAGATGGTCTCTGTGTGAACTGAGGCTGGCTGCCTCCAATATTGGTCCTGAGGCAGTTTAGCAAAAGGCTCAGGGCCCCCGAGGCCTGTTGGTGCCTGTCAGGTGTCAGTAAGGACCAACTATTGAAAGAAGCTCTTTAGGGGTGTGTGTCTGGCTATTGACTCAGTGTTGAGGGTGCCCTCAGTGATGTGGCACTAGCTTGGCAGGATGGAATTCAAGTGAGTTATGAGACATGATTGGTGGTTTTTAATATGTTAAGGCAGATTCAGGTCTTACGCCAATACCTGGCCTGTGACCCCTTTGTATAGTGTCCCAAGGGCACTACAGCCAGTCTCCACCTCACCCTCACAAATTCACGAGAGCTGCTCCCAAGTGGCTGTGGTGCAGATTTGTGGTCACTGAACACTACCGAGATTCCCCAGGGCTCTATGGACCAACTCTGTTGTAAAAAAACGTTTCCACAGTTTGTGGGGGTGGGGCCAGTGACGCCAGCACCCCGATTGCCCCTGGCAATGGAGCTGTAGGTGGGCAAGGTAGTGTTACAGGTGTGTAAAGGCTGTGGTCTGTGTTTTCTACAAATTCAGTGTGGTCTCTGCACCTGGACCAGTGATAGGTCCACGTCCACTTCATAAAACAAAAACAAAGCAAGGCGATTCAACAACACCAAAACCAAATACACCCCCACAAAAACACGATAAACAATGATCAGATGGGAGAAACAAAAATATATAGAAGAGACAGAAACACAAATACAAAAACAGGAGAACAAGACAGAAAAACAGTAACCAAAGCAATAACCAGATAATCAAGTCTGAGGAACAACAACAAAAGGAAAACAGATGAAAGAAAAGAAGAAAAAAGAATAATAAAAAAAGAAGAGTGCTGGCTGAGTGGAGCGTTGGCTAAGAGTTGGCTTGGGACGCCAGCTCTGAGCAGCAGGGCCCCAGTTCGGATCCCACATGGGCCAGTGACGCTGTGCCTTCTACAGCTAAGATGATGAACAACAGCTCGACCTGGAGCTGGACTGCCGTGGCAACAGTGTAGGCTGCAGTGGGGCTGGCTCGCAGCAGGTGTGAGCTTTCGTGAGCTGCCGTGAGCCGCTGTGAGCAGCCGTCCAATGGCTGGTGAGTGACTGCCTCGCCTGGGAAGAGCGCAATGATAATACCAATGTGGGCCAGTGAAGCGATGTCCTCCACAACTAGACTGAAGAACAAAAGGACAGCAACTTACTTGTGTGTTCCCCTTACCCCGATTTCCCAATGCTGTTCCCCTCCCCCATTACCCCAATAAAATCTTTAAAAAAAAAAGATAAAAGAAAAGAAAAAAGAAAAAAAAAGAAATACAAAGAAAAAAAAAGAGGGGGGAAAAATAAGGCTCTCTGCCTGCTGTAAT